GCAGGCTGTGTCCCTGGGCCAGCAACTGGCCGCCCACGCTATGGCGGGCCCCAGGGCCAAGTATGCGCCCACGCTCCCGTTCCAGCGATACCATGACACCATGAAAGACCAGCTCGAGGCGGCAAAGACGTTCGAGGACCAAAATCAGCGCTTCCAAGACAAGGACACCGAAGTGGCCGACAAGATCGCGGCCTGGACCACCATGCTGCAGAACGCGCAGGACCAGCGCGACACCCGTCTGAGTGTGCAGTCCCAAACCTTGGCCAAGTATCGGGACGCGCGCAGCACGGCCGACGCGTGCGCCAAGCAGCTGAGTGACGACGACGAGCTCCAGGCCGCAAAGGATGTCTTCGATCAAGGTCTTGTGGACTGGGAGAAAGGACAGATCCTCAAAGCGGCGTTTGCAATCCTGTCTGCCATCTTTGGTGAGCCCTCCTTCTCCCCGCCCCCTTTTCGTCTCTCGTTGCCGTCCACGTCTTTCAGCCTGTCTACTCGAGGCCCCTGATGCTGATACTATCCGCGCTGGGGTCGACTAGAGTTTGCGTTTGGCATCGCCGAATTGTGTATTGGAGATGATCCAGGAGGCGCCGCCAAGGGAGTGCAAGACGCTGTCGAGAGTGTAGAAAAGGTCGAGGAAGGAGCAGCCGAAGCCGGCCAGATCATGACCTCAAGCACCCTGCAGAAGCTATCGACATTCACCAAGGCACTGCAGAAGCTCTATCCCAAGGTCGATGCGCTGGTCGCGGCGGCGAATAAGTTGGCCGCTCTTCCAGGGGGCGACGAGGTGGATCTTCCCTCCTTGAACGATATCTCTGGCTCCGGAGGCTCCGATGCCGATTCCAGTCTGATCACTAGCCTGGCGGCCTGGGATGACTGGGAATTGGAGTGCGATCAGCAGATGGAGTGGGCGGCTGACCAAGAGAAAATTGGCGGCGCCAGCCAGTTTCGACTAGCCCTGCGCAAGCACGCGGTGCATGGAAGAGCGCTGGCCCAGGCTCAGGCCGAAGCCATCAAGCAGGGCCAGCAGTATGTGCAAACGACGCTGGAGGTCCTGCAGTCGGACCAGGATATCCAGAACCTCCAAACCTTGCTGGATACCTACCATGGCGAGGAGGCGATCTATGCCGCCGGCCAGGCCCAGTTCTACGACCGATTCCTGCAGCTGAAGACCAGCCTGGCAATTCAGCTCCAATACATCATCGACGCCTATCGCTTCTACGCCCTGCAGGACAGCCAGGTGAGGCTGGAGTCGCAGCAGTCAGTCGGCGACTTCCAACAAAATCTGTCGACGCTGCAGACGGAGATGCAGAACGTCGATAACCAATATGCCGAGGATTTCACTCGTAAGTTGATGTTGCTCTGCCCGCCGTCAGGACGCCTGCTGATCATCGTCGTTCTGCCCAGCGTTTGACTATTACGTGTACTCTGATGAGGTGAGTCGAGTCAGTGCAGTTCTAGCCTTTGGACGCTGTACTGACCAGGAACTGTCCCGATTGTAGCTGCCCTCCAACTTTCCGCAGCTTGTCATCGATGGGCTCAAAGACAGCAGTCAAGGCCACAAGGCTACCTTCACTCTCGTGGCCACGCCACAGGCCAGTTCGCAGGCGGGGGAGCACAATTTCGCCTATCCCTTCACGAATGGCTCTCACTACCGACTAGACGGGTTGGAAATCCAGCTCATGGATGTGAAGCCGCGTCCCGAGGCCGTTCACGACGGACGCGCAGTGGTCAGTCTCAAGATCGAGACGTCCGGGTCGTACAGCGACATCCAGCATGACCAGGTCTTCTACTTCGTCAGCCCAATGCAGCAAAAACGCTATTCGTATGAAATCGGTCCCGACGGCAGCTTTCTACGCATACGCGACAAGGCCATATTCGAGCCGACCAACCATGCGGAACCACCGCCCTTTACCCAGTGGACCATTACGCTGGAGACGCCCGAGAATGTCGACATGAGTACCCTGAACAAGATCCAGCTTCACTGGAACGGAAAGTATCGGCCCTACTGAGAGACAGGTGTGTAGAGTCGTCTGGACACAGTCGAAGCAGTGACAAAGGTTCCGGATCCCTAAGTGCTAGCTGTATTGTCTATATGCCTACTTTCAGACTCTAGTAATCCTTCCTTTCTGGTTTGTGTGTGCTTCACCTCCTGCAGCTTTGTTCCGTCGTCCAGACCTCAATTAATGTATGCATTCTTGAACGCGATGACTGTGATGACCGGGGGGTTAGCCTTTTGTCCGTGATGCTGGGATGCGAGGTCCCCGTCCTCGGGAGGGCCTGCAGAACGACCGTGATAGAAATGTAAAGCGAGTGTGGGCTGCCTACCATGTTCTTGCAGAGTGGCCCATCTTTTCAGCAGGTTCCGCTCAACCAGCCCTCCGAGCGGGTTGTCATCCGGATCCACATGCTTATCAAGATAATCAACTAGGTTCTGAATATCATCCTCAATAAGTGTCGCACTCCCTGTAGTCATGCCCCAAGTCCAATGAGCCATTGCAGTCCCTGGTTGGAATTCGCCACGCCGCTCACTCACCGGACATCTTCTGCACCTCCTCTAGCGAAACGCCCATATCGTCCACCATGCTGAATCCATCCAGCAAGCTCTGCATCATGGCGCCTGGTCAGCTCGCACCGTTTCAGGTCGGGAAGGGCGCCCCGCTCAACCCTTACCTTGACATTCCCCAAAGCATCCAGGTCATCCTGGAGGTTATCCTGGGCATCATCCTTGATCAACCGATCGCGTAACGCGGAGCCCTGGAAGGGGGCGACCAGGTCACGCACGGCCGCTTCGCAATCACCTGCGTCCATGCTGTAGGAATGCAGGTCTCTGCTCCAGATGGTGGCTTGGTCCCGAAGAGCCTTGACCTCGGAGTGACGGTCATTGACCTCTTGCAGGACCTTCTTGCGCAGGGTCTCGTTGTCGGGATCCTTGCGCAAGGCTTCGAGGTCCGTGAAGATTTTGTCTAGAGGCCGAGAGTCAGTGGCCGTTCACCTCGTAGGGTTGTTACCTCTGTTGAGCCCCAGCTCGACATGCTCACTCAAGGGAAGGGAGTCGGGCAACCAAAACTCCCCCGGCGGTGCTGGTTCGACATACCGTAGTCGTCGGGGGCACGGTCGCAAAGGTCCAAGACCTTCTGACAGACGGTGTCTGTGTAGTTATATGTTTCCTGGTTCACGGCCAAAGTGGCGTCAGCGGAAGAGGGCGATAATCCAAAAGGGGCTCGATAGAGAGAGGACCCGCGGTAGGCTCTTTTCGGTCGAGATCATTGGGACAAGGAAGAAGAGGATCGTACATTCAGGTTGAGAGCGACGTTCTGCACCTGTGATGCAATTGTCAACGCACATCCCGCTGGTCAGGGTGGCTGGGGTAGGGAGAATGAAATGCCCGAGCCTACTGTCCAGAATTGCTGGGTGATAGGGTTCAGATAGCTATAGAGCTGTGTCCACCATCAGTCAGTATGCTGGATTTGGGGATTCTTCTCCTCGTCTCACAATCTGGTAACCGCTCTCCCAGAACCCGGTCTTCTGGCGGAGGCTATCATCGTCCCGGGGCAGGTTCTCCGTCTTCACAATGACATTTGCGAGCTGCTTGAACGAAGCCAACTTCAGGCAGAAGTTGTCGTTGATGAGGAGATCGCGAGGGCTGAGGAAATCGGCATCACGAGGCATGTTGAGCGTACGGGAGGGGAATATGAGCTGTCTGTTAAGGGGGTGTAGATGAAACTCGGGGTTTGACTTGAAGAGTTATGTATGTATTTAAATCATGGTGGGAAGAGCCCGCAAGAGGAAAGCGATCACCATACTTCATTCGTGGCCAAGGGCGAAAACCCCGCCTGCGATGACACATGGTTATTTCCTGCTGATTTGCTGTCTTCACCTTGGTGGCATGCAGGGGGCATCATCCAGCCTAGCTGTGTAGTGGTGGTGGCGTCACCATTGCAGTCGGCATGGATCGTAGTCCTGAGTGCCAGACTTAGTTATAAGCCACGACTACCAACGCTCCCCCCTGTCTAGTGGCCGGAAGAACCTATCTTCCAGGCCCAGACGAAAATATCAAATAATTCTGAATCGACGATTCAGAATGCCCTGGTCAGGCCCCTATATAGTCTCCCGCCGTTACACCAATATCATACTTTCTATATCTTTACTACCGAGCTGTTCCACACTCCAGGAACAGTTTATACTCCGTGTCTTGTGTTAGTCCCACTCGACCGAAATACCATAGGGCAGTAAGGTCGTGTCTTGTACACATCATCCCCAACATCCAGTCCGATGTAAGTGAATGGCAACATACAAATTGGGATATTGTATGAACCTGGTTCGTTTCACAACAAATGCCATTCAAGATACGTTAGAGCTTAGAAACAGGTTAGCAATTCAAATACATGTTGGCCCTAAGCATCTGATGTAGTGAAAACGTCTTCATGGAGAAACGAACGTAGAGGTAGAGACAGATAGAACAGTAACATTTGATAAAATAAAATATAATCGTTGTTCTGGTCAAAGCTAAATTCCTGCAGATAGGAAGGAACAAGCATAGTTGAAGGGGAAAACTAACCTCAATCAACCTTTAATTGAGCAAGCAAGACAACATCGGACCGCTGCCATCACTACAACTGGAACCGTGTATATGAACGCTTCTAGACAGATGAGGTGTGCGGCTGAGGGCTAGATTGATATGGTCATCAGTCAATCTAGGCCTAGCACTACAGTGTGCTCATGATTCACTGTCCTAAATCTCAAAGCATTTTATATCAGCACTGCAATAGAACTATCCATTGCTTTTCAAGTTAAGCTATGTTCTGTAGGGAGCACCCGGAACTTGGAAGTTGGGTTGGCTGGTCCTCAACCACCCGTAGGGCAACTCAGTATCTGGCCTCTTTGAGGCTTCAATGGTCAGCTCAGGGCTGTTATACTGTAACATCATTTCCAAGGGCTTTATTGGTGATGTATATCTCTGTCGGCTGAGGCAAAAAATATGAAAAAGCATTCAAGCGACACGTCAGCGGCAGGATTTGAACCTACGAACACGAATGTACTAGATATACTACACTTTATAGTAATGAATTTTATCACTATAGGCTATAGTTCAAGTCTAGCGCCTTAACCACTCGGCCACACTGACAATCAGATTTGAGGGTTGATTGGTAGAAAGTCTAGATCTCAGCGCTTCAGTAACTCTCTGATCCAATCCGTCCCAAGCCGACCCTGCGCTACAGCAGCTTTCTCCAAGAAATGATGGACCGTTTTCAGCGTAATCCCTCCCTTGTGGAAGTCTCGTCGAGTCCACCGCTCAATCGCCTTCTGGAGCACCGTCCACGCCCGCTCCGTTTCCACCGACTGCCCCCGACCACAGAGCTCCGTCAACACGAGCACCACCGCATGCCACTGTGGATACCGTTCGAAGAGCCAGGCCCACCGCGTGGTCCGCGGATCTGTCTCCAGCAGATAGGCGAATTCCACCACTTCGATGGCGGTCAGGAAGAGCTGTTCACGCTTCGGGTCCTCCGGTGAGATCTCGATCAGCGGCATCCGGACCGTCATCGTCCCCTGTGAGAGATGTGAGAGATGTGCGATTAACCATGATCGCGCGAGAGCGAGTCGGATTACTGTCGCCGTTACCCATTGTGCAGGGATAGAGGTGTCACAGTATTGAAGGTGTCGATTTTGTAAATGGGTGCGAATTCCTTCGAGCTGGCGGAGACGCTCGTCTAGAAGGTGCGAGGGATGTCCTTCGCTGTTGCTGGGGTGGGTGTTGAGGAAGGAGCGCCGGTAGAGGACGGTCATTTCGCAGCGGATCAGACAGAAGGTTATTTCTGTGAATTCGATGCGTTCATCGGGAGATGTGGTTGACTCCGGAGATAGATCCGAGTCGTTGATGTTCAGGGGCAGTTTGGTGTCGTAGCAAGATTCGGTGATTAGTGTGCCGATGGCATGAAGCTCGGACGATTGACTGTCTAGCAGATAGATAGACCACCATAGTCGGCGACGCAGTTCAACCTCGAAGGGACTAAGTTCAAAATGGGTTCCGTCGCGATGCAATCCCAGCCCCTGTGCGAGCCGATAAACCGCCGCGGTCACGGTCCAGACGAACTCGGCATCTCCGGGGCGGCGCAGACAGGTGAGGAAGAGTACGGCCGCTTGGAGCACGGTCTGATTTCGTGATTGAAGGAAGCCTGCTCGCGCCAGCGCTTGCTGCGTTGCGAACCGGTATTGCTGGAGGAGTGTGGAATGGTCTTGACCTAGCTCCTCGGCGCGCTGTTCGGGACTCATACTGGTGACGGCAGCGAAGTAGAGGGCAAACACCACTGCCTCCGAGGCTCGGTCAATATAATTGCTGTGCGTAGCTGTTTCGTAGAGAAGTCTGTGTAGACTTGGTTTAGGGAAGATCATGATGACTGATGCGACGTTCTCCTCGAAAGTCTTCCATAGTATCTGACTGTCCCTCACACTGGGATGGAAGGCCGACAGCGAGGACGCGATAGACGAGTAGCCGAAGAGAAATTGATTACCATTCTGCAAATACACCTCACCTTCATCTTCAATAATATCATTCCCAGGTGATTGCACCAGGTCTTTGAGCTCTTCGATCTGTCACACAAGGGTAAATTAGCAAGCGGGTAAAATCCAGGCAATAATAAAGTAATACATACCTGGTTACCAAGACTAATCAGCACCTCATGTGTAACATACTGAGTAGAGCCTCTTTCCACAATCAACCTGCCATGCTCATTCTCTACGCGACGGGCATTCTTCGCAGCTAAAGAGGGGTCGGATGGAGCAGAGGCGTCTTGAGAAGCGGCAGCACCAGAACTAGCGGTAGAAACATGTGTCATCTCTCGGAGCTCATGCTCCAGACTCTTCAAGCGCGAATAAGCTCGGCCTTGAGGGGACGTTTTTTATGCCGAGGGGCACGACCGGGGCCTGGAAATACACAATCCGAGTTGGACTTGAGGCAGCTCTCACATGGTGGGGTCTTGCTACATCGAATCTTTTTCTGGTTGCAACAATGGCAGCTACGTGGGGTTGATAGAATGTCTTTACCAGGTTGCACAGCGTTAACCATGACCGTTAAAGCAATAGATCATTGAAAAAGAGAGGCGAACGTTATTAGGATGGACACCGTCAACACACTGCATGAGCCCTAGTTAATAATCCGGGGTTGAGATAAAGCCTGAGATCGACGGCTTTTAGTCAGACATTCTTGGTGGCAACAGATCATGGACCCACTGACTGCTTGCATATAGAAGTAAATCTTAACTATAACGCTAGAATCCGAGCCCTAATTCTTGCTTGCTCAGCGCCGGCATAGGAAAGCCCGAAGGCCGAGTAAAGATACCTACCCCTAGCCCTATATTCCTCGATCCCTTTATATTTATGCCCACAAGCTATGTGAATGGAGGCAGATATCATACTTTCCTCTTTCATCCCTCCATTTTCACCATGACAGCCATCTTAATCACCGGTGCAACCGGTAAACAAGGAGGTTCTCTCATCAAAAAGCCTCATCTCTCGCAACGCCCCCTTCGAGATCCTTGCTGTCACGCGAAATCCCACATCTACCTCCGCTCAGAAACTCCGTAACCTCTCCCCCAGCATCAAGCTCGTCGAGGTCGACCTAGAAAACTCAGCCACAATCCTCCAAAATGCTCAGCGCCTGACCTCTCTCCCATCTGGGGCGTTTACAGTGTCCAGGTTAGCAAGTCCCCCTTGCCCTCCATCCAACATCCAGCACCCACACCCACATCACTAACCCCCCAAAGGCAGCAATCGGAAACAACGCCGAAGAAACCCAAGGCAAATCCCTCATCGACGAAGCCCTCAAACAAAACGTCAAGTTCTTCATCTACAGCTCCGTCGACCGCGGCGGCGAAGAGCATTCCTACACTAACCCCACAAAGCTACCCCACTTTATCAAAAAGCACATCATCGAGCACCACCTCGTCGATCGTAGCAAGAACACCTCCATGGAGTGGACAATCCTCCGGCCAACAGCCTTCTACGAGAACCTGACGCCCGACTTCTTCGGAAAGGTCTTCGCGACGTGCTTCAAGATGGCGCTCAAGCGGAAGAAACTTCAGATGGTAGTGACCAGCGACATTGGGAATTTCGGGGCCGATGCCTTCCTGAACCCGGACCAGTATAAGGGATGCGGTGTATCGTTGGCAGGGGACGAGCTGAGCTTTGAGGAGATGGAGCGGATTTTCGTGCAGAAGAGGGGAGAATCATTGCCCATGGCTTTTCGACCAGTTTGTTCGTTGTTTATGGCCATGATGAAGGATATGGGGTATATGTTTCGGTGGTTTTATGAGGAGGGGTATGGGGCTGATGTGAGGGCTTTGAAGGAGGTTCATCCTGATATGAAGGATTTTGGGACTTGGTTGGAGATGGTGGGTTTGGGAAGCCGTGATTCTGGTCAGGACTTTTCTAGAATACTGTGTAGACTGAATACTCTGTACTAATAATGCCTTGTTTTAATATGTGCTTGTGTTAGATTGACGATAATAGGATAGGACTCATCTGTTCCGACTGTTGAAACTGAGTAGAAATAACCCTCAGGTCATATTTTATGTCTTGAAATGCGCGCCCTGCCACGCCTTTAGTGTGGATGCCGTTAGACAGGGTTGCTGGTAAGCTTAGTACGTTATATAAACTAGAGGAGCTTTCCCTAATTGTACTGAAATGCACCTCATTAAGAAAACAATTTTGCTTGCTGCGACTGGTTTGCGAACAAGCAGTGGTCCATATCTACACCGATCTTAAAATCAAATCTTCGACTCATACACAAATGCTGGAATATCTGGACCAGCTCAAAAAATATCTCAACATGATTTGTTATCCGAGTGAGTGAGGTGCAAAGATCTGCACGGCTGAGAGAGAGGGGCAGACTAATTACGTTAATAGTGGGGAGCTGAGTTCATCCGGATGTATTAGTGGAGATTTCGAGCCCGATGATTCGACAAGTGTGTTTTTTCAGCTGCACAGCTCAACTCCAATATGTTCCACATATCGGCAAATGCGACGGCCCAAGCGAGGTGGGGTTTAAAAGATCGGTGTGACATGGAGGGGTCTTCTCGATATGAACCATCCACCCCCCCTCTTCCATTTTCTTTCATATAATCACACCCATCCATACCGTGACTGAAACACTGCCGTTCTTTAACGTTACCCTCCTTCCCAGAATTGTCAATACCTCATCATGACTGAAGTTACTCCTCTTAACAGGTATGTCGTATAGAATCATTGTAAATAGTTGTAAGAGATATCGCCAGGGCCCGATATTCCACAAGATTAAGAGGTCAAATAATTTTGAATCGACAATTCAGAATGCCCTGGTCAGGCCTATATAGCTTCCCGCCGTTACAATAGCCCCCAGTCTTCTATGAAATATAACTGACCATTCTCCGTGCTTTACTAGCTATTCCGAGTTCCAAACTCTCATAAATTCGGGCCAAGTTGTCATAATCGACTTTTGGGCCGTATGGTGTGGTCCTTGCCGAATGATAAGCCCAGTCTTTGAAAAGCTGGCCTCCGATCCAGAGTTCAGTTCAATCAAGTTTGTCAAGGTGGATGTTGATGAACAGGAGCAAATTTCTCAAGAATGTGGAATTAGAGCCATGCCAACCTTCACGGTTTTCAAAGATGGCGCGAAGTTGGGCGAGCTCACGGGTGCTAATCCCCCAGCCCTGGAAGAGCTTGTGAGGAGGTATGCATAGATCTTCTGGCCTTGATTGGGCATATATCGACTAGGCAAGGAGAGTTATTAGGAAAGCTGTATGAGGTTCTTGGTTCTTGGTCATTTGCCTAGATTACTGTCATGTGGTTTTGTTGTTTAATATTGTTATTACTATAAGTGTAGCTCTGATAGCTCTGGGCTCAACTGTGGAGTACACTCGACCTCTTCTTCTTTTAGTAGTAGGTGCAGATTAGATTTATTAGCTGAAGCTATGATGGTCCACATTTCAGGGTTTTGTATCTTGCTCTCTATCTTGAAACATCCTGTTTTCTTTGGCGTCACAGATCATATTTCTTAAATATGGATACGTTATCTAACGGTTCATTCATCTTATAAAATCAAATCGAAAAAGAATGGAGTTTTCGATAGTAAGCAAGAAAGAGCATGTC